TAGCATGATCTATATTGCCCTCCAACAGCTGGCTGCCGGTCTTGTAGCCAGTGATGGATCTCATGCCTCTCCACACCTCCCTCAAGTTATTTTGTTGCAGGCTATTCTCCAATTTCCTCCTGTACTTTTCCTTTCCCTCCCTTATCTTGACAGACAGTAGTCTTTGAGCCTTCTTAGCTTCCTCCTTATCACCTGTCCTAAAAGCCCTATTTTTATCATTGAGAGCACCTTTAATGTCCTTGGTGACCCAGGGTTTATTGTTAGGGAAGCAATGAATAGTTTTCGGGGGCATGCAGATATCAATACAGAAATTTATATATTCTGTGATGCAGTCAGTCAGTTGGTCAATGTCCTCACCCTGTGGCTCACAGAGCACCTCCCAGTTAGTAGACTCAAAGCACTCCTGCAGGGCAGCATTGGCTTCATCAGACCATTTCCTCACCTTCCTGACAGTAGCAGGTTGCCTCTGAACCAGGGGTTTGTATATTGGAAGGAGATGGATCAGGTTGTGATCTGACCTGCCTAGTGGAGGGAGGGCTGAAGAGCTGTAGGCCCCTTTAACATTTGAATACATCAAGTCTAGGGTCCTGACAAGGCGTCAGGGTGGCGAGTCTGAAGTTTGGCAGTGACTGAATATATGAGATCGCATACGCCCACAGCATTAGCGGATGGAGGAATGTAGACGGCGATTAAAATGGCATGAGAGACTCTCTAGGCATGTAGTATGGGCGAAGCCCCACAGCCAAAAGTTCAATATCAGGGCTGCAAACACACTCTTTCACAGTTACATGACCCGGGTGGCATCACATGTTATTAATATAAACAGCCAGTCCTCCTCCTCTCCTCTTACCGCACTCCTCTCTTCTCCGGTCTCCCCGCACTGCACTGAAGCCGTTTATATTAATGCTGGAATCGGGTATGCCATCATGTAACCATGTCTCCGTAATACACATCAGACTGCATTCGCGAAAGATGTTCTCCCTGCTTACTAAAGCTGTCAGCTCATCCATCTTATTGTCCAGTGACCTCACATTACCCATAATGAGAGACGGGAGACACGGTTTATATTTCCTTGCCTTCTCTTTGCGCGCTGCTTTGCTCCGCTCGACTTTTCCTCTCTGCCGTTTTCTTCTTCCACCTCTGCATCCTCTCACTGTCCTCCTTCGTATTTCATCAGGGATGTTTAAAGTCCGATACAAAGTTGGATCAAAAATGCCGGCCGGTTGCAATGCGATCAGCTGATCCCTGGTGTAAACAAAAGAGCCGGCACCATGTTGCTGCACGCCGGTCACTTGGAGAGTTAAAAACAGAAGGACTCGGCAGGCCATGGCGGATCTGGGGAATCGGGAGGCCATGGCGGATCTGGGGACTCCGGGGCCCATACGGCTGGAATCATACTACCCCCCCCCCCAAAAAAATCCTTGGGGAAATCTACGGGGCTGTATTCGGAGCCCCCCCTGGGCCTACCGGGGAACCTGG